AAAAAAAAAAAAAGAAAAAGTCATTATAAAAAGATTACAAAAAAAATTAATAAGAATTACAAATGATATGTAAACGAGATACATTTGAAATTAGTAATATTAATAAATAATAACATTTAAGTATTTTAAATAACAAATTTTATCCTAAAATAACAAATTATTTCATTAAGTTTTTCAAGAAACAATTATTATTTTAAAATCATAGTTAATAGTATAAATTTGTAAATTTAGATATACAAAATAAACATGTATTCAGTGAATTATTTAAAATATTTAACTCCAGCTTTAGTTTATTAATTATATTAAATAAACAAGTTAAAATTTCAGTTATATGATTTTTTGAAAAATACGAGGATTACTTTTTATTCGACAAGTCATTAATTCAATAAAAAGTAGAAATTATAGACTGTCTTTTTTACTAGCAAGAGAATAATGGTTAACAATTATATGATATTTACTTTCCAAGTTATGAAAAAATTAAGAATATACTTAGAACATTTTATTATAAATAATATGAAATTTAATTAATTGACTCCCAATTTTTGTCTGAAATCTTCTGTATTTTATTCCATAAATATTTAGTTATTTCATCTGCTGATTTTGTTTCTGTATTGAACTCGAAATAAGTTAGTTTCATGGTAATTCTATTATACATATCTATATAAAAATATTAAGGGAATTTAAATCAAAATTTTTACAATGTTATTTATGTTAACATCTTTTTGTAAAACCTATTGTTTGAACTATAAGACAAGAAAACTTCCATAGCCCAAAACTTGCACACCTAAATGAAATGCTTTATTGATCTATAATTAGTTATAATTATAATGACATTTCTTACAACAATGTTTTTTATTTTAAATAACAAAATTTTTAAGAGTAATTTTTTACTATTCTATTTTTGCATTGAACATTTGTAAATAATTTATCAGTTTTTCTGAGCATCTAAAATTTTAGTAACAATATTTATTATACTGTCAATGCAAATTTGGATTGTACATATCCACAATGAAAAGGCCTTGTCCATATAAAATAATAATAATAATTATCTTTTATGAATTATGAATTATTAAATTACCATCTATCTTTAATAAGTTCATAATCAATCATCTACAATATTGAACTTCAAACTTAAATATAGGAGAGCAAAACATTTAAAATATTAAAATCAAATTAGGATGAAATAATTATAAAATAAACCCAGCACAGTGGGGTGGCGGCACAGTGGCATAGTTGGGTCCAGTATAGATATCTGACAGTGATTAAAATCACTATCATAAGAAACGCTTCGATGCAAATCTGTAGATAGTGTTTAATTAAAAAAAAAAAATTTGTTAAAATAGCATATTTATATATTTTTGCGCATAGAAGATAGGGACAAATTTTTTTATTATTTTATAGTACACAAAATAAGCTTTAATTTGATATATGTTTAAAGGACGCAGTATTTCCGGAACATTTTCAAAAATTAAGTTGAAAAAATTATTTTTTGTAAAAAATTTACTATTTTAAATCCTCCTAGTGAGCAGAATAAGAATAAGATTATCAAAAAAAATTATATCAAATGAAAGGGAAATATCTAAGGTTTCAATACAAAAAAATATTATTTTTATTTGTTCATTTTTGAAAAAGTTATGGCAGTTTTAAGTACAAAAAACATCCCGATAAAAGGTGATTTTTATCGCAAACATTACACTTTTTTTTCATTTTCGACAGCCATTTGCACATAGAAGATAAGGTGTCGGGACAAATTTTTTTTTTTCATTTGATAGTATATAACATAACCTTTGATTTGATATATGTTTAAAGGACGCAGTATTTCCGGAACATTTTCAAAAGTTCAGTTGGAAAAGATGTATGTTTTTTACAATATTTCAAGTTTTGAACGCCCCCTATATAAGGGGAAATTGTCCAATTTTAATAAAAAGTATGTCAAATGAAAGATGTACTTATAATGTATTTAGAAGAAAAAAAAATTTGAAAATTTAAAATCGAAAATTTTAACAAAAAATAGTGTTTTTTTAACTACAGCAGCTGTTTTAATGTAGAAGATAAAGTGTTGGGACAAATTTTTTTTCCATTTTATAGTACATAAAATAAGCTTTAATTTTATATATGTTTAAAGGACACAGTATTCCCGGAACATTTTCAAAAATTAAGTTGAAAAAGTTAGTTTTTGTAAAAAAGTTGCTATTTTAAATTCTCTCCAATGAGCAGGTTAAGTGATAGATTTTCAAAAAAATGATATCAAATGATAGGGAAATATCTAAGGTTTTAGTATAAAAAAAAATTATGTTGATTTGTTGATTTTTGAAAAAGTTATGGAAGTTTTAAGAAAAAAAAGTGAAAAAAATGACAAAATTTACCGATTTTTAAATTTGTAATTTTTTTAGATATATCTCCCATTTTCGGGGAACAAGGGAATTTTTTTAAATTTTAAAGGGTAATGTCTCCAACTAGATACGATTTGTGATCTTTTGACGTATTGTTGAGAGAAATCGGTCTAGTGAGAGCTGAGAAAAAGTGGCAACAGACATAAAAAAAACACATCATAGTAAAATTAATACCTTCTCAGATTCGCATCGAAGCTAAAAAAATTAGTGTAAATAATCAATTCTATTTAATTTTTAAATATTTAAGGTATTTTAAGTACTAAAAAGGATACAGCCTTTTTGAACTATTGCATTTAGTCCATTAGAATAATCAAAATGAATTTTCAACATATTTTTATAAGTAATAAATGTTTTTCTGAAAAATAAAAATTTATTAATAAATTTATTGATATAACATAGATAAATCAAAACTTACTTTATGAGTGATAATTTATCTAAATCTGTACTACTTGCTTTCATTCTATTAAATTTTTTGTAATCAAATTCAATGGATTGTTGGGTATTTTTTAAATTCTCCACTTTATTTTTTATATCATGCTACAAGAAAGCATTATAAGTGATGATCAAATGTATATATATATATGGAATTAATTATTTAGAAAAGTTAATCATCGAACTTTACAAAATTTGCTTACATTTGTTTGCATGTTCAAAGCCAATTCTGACATAAGTTTGACACGTTCTCTTTCAACATATGATAACTGTTCTTCATGTTTCAATAAGTCATTGTTTATTTCATTACAGACATTATTTAATCCTAAAATCGTTATAATTGTAATAATAAACAAATTCAATTATTATTTTATAATGATACAATTATAATTATAATTTCTGAAATAATTGAATTATATCTATTACTTAAAAAATACAA